AGTTATAAATCCAGGAGTTTCGAATGTAATCTCGAATTTATTTAGAACTATTTATGTACTTACCCCATAGATATAGTTAAGTGTTTAGTTTTGCAAGTGGAATCGAAAGACTTTTCAAGTACAAGCGACGACGGCTGCTGTAATGCAAAGTTTTATTTTGTGAATAATTTGATTATGTAAACGTTTTTGCCTTCTTCTCAGATATTCTACTTTAACATCGCAGCTACTGTCGGAAAACAGAATGAACATGTTACAAAACTAGTGACCAATTACCGTTTATGTAGGTATGTGACTGCCCCTTAGTTACAAAGAAACTGATAGGTACAGTATGTTTCTAGAAAGTAAAAAAATAAGATCTGAATAACTTGCTACCGTGTAAATCAGCTCTATGAAAAGCACCCGATTATTTTCGCTCAAAGGTAAAAAATAAACCTAAAGTTTTGGTTCGGAGCAGGCTTATTTTAGGAGTGGTGCCTAAACAGTACATATTAGGTGAAGAGCGATATGATCGTGGGGACATGGGCAATATTTTTCGTGAAACAACTGCGCAAGTGGAATTGGATACCTACATAACATAATCATAATAATATACAAAAAGCATATGTGAATCTGTGTAGGGTTTTTGTACCCGTCAAAAACCAGATAGAAACCATTTCCACAAATATAATGAGGTTATTTTGGTGATTTGCTCTAAGTAAATTACCGGTCAATGCCTCAGGAAGTGCTTTTTTGTTTTTCGTTACACCGTAAAGCGTGGTGGACCAATTGTAGTTATCGTGATCGAATTGACCAATAGTATTATACTTTAGACGTAATGAATTGATTATTACAGCTATTTAAGCTGTTTTTATACATCTAAATTCAATTTATGATTTCCTAGATATCCGATATTTCAAAAGACAGCAAAACCTATATGAACGTGGTGCCTGACTCTCCCAATAAAGCTAAAGTCAACAATACGAACTGAAAAATTTTCTTCGAGGACATAGGAATAATGCCACGGGTATTTTTTTGTGTATGGACCAGGAGGACTTGGCCTTGTTTTGAAATTCATTAGGGAAAGTGATTAAGCTTGGCCTGTTAACTTTGCGTTTTTGAGGAAGTCAGTCTTTCCGTTCGTATTTCGTATTCGGGTGTAGACCCAGTAGGTACTGTATTTTTTTTTTATTCATTGATTACGATTGGCACGTTCACCTTTCCTCCGATGTGACGTCAGCGTTGAGCTGCGCAACGCTGGTGTTCAACACTTGTGTTTATTCTTTATTTATATAAGGTCCTAAATTCAGTGAAAATATTTCAGGATGTGTTGAAAAGATGTGTCACTTTGTATGGGAGTCCAACCTTTAATTATATTTATAAAAATGTTGTCCAGCTTCACGAGTAGAACGTACCCTGAAAATGTACGCACTGAATTTAATTGGACCTTATATTTGTGTTTGTCCGCCTTCTAGACTTCTCACCGGTGGCACTATAAAACGTTTTTCAATGTAGGTATTATCTTTCATTTTATTTTATAACATAACAGGCAGTAGGTGCAGCAAGCGGCAGGTCAGGGTGGTTTTATTTAAGGGATTAATGTATTGGTACATTAGTACTAAACTAACTTGATATATAAAAAAATACTCTACAATTTAGTAGAATTTCGGGTCCGTTGCAAAACCTATGAAAATACTGTGTTAATTTTGGAACGTAACACAGTATTGATAAGATATAATGCATTTTACTATAAATACAAATGTAACTACAGATATGGGGACAGTAAGTGCTATTAATTTGTCAAAGATATAAAAGGAACTATGGGCATGATGAGTAAATTTTAAAAGGTATCTCACTCATAATAAGGAACGGTACAGTCCATTCGCTATAGTGATAGTGTAAATTTTATGTAGGTAATATGACTAGTGTGCAAAACAGTGTGCATTTATCCCTTAATTAAGAGAACTCGACCTGTTGCCGATATACGTAGATTTAAATTGTTGAGTATTATTTTGAAGGTTCGGTTTCTTACTTTTAACAACAACAAAGTGATTTGTTAAATTAGACCTTATTATGGAATGTGATCAATTGAGTTTTGGTGAATATTTACCTAAAATAAGTGATTTGTCTATCTGCAGGATGTGAAACATCCTTTGAATATAACTTTAATTATAAATTAGACTTTCGGCCACATTTTAGCAAAATTGTATTATACTTAGTTCACTTTTTATTAATTTAAGGCAATTATTTATTTTATATTGTAAACAATACTTATAATTTAATACCTATACTTACTATGTTTATAAAAAATGAATATTATTATTTTTTGACATCTGACTGTTGGATTTTATTATTACTTTTATTATGAAATGAATTTAGACCGTGATTTTTGTAAAAAGAGATGTCGAGGATATGATTTTTATCTTTGAAAACCTATAATTTCAAAATAAGTACCTATTATGTTTAAAAACACATACTTATTTTGATTTAATTTTATGTTATGATTTTAATAAATGTCTTTATATTAATCAAATACCGGGTGTATGGGACGGTATACCTGAAACTTTGCGATTCTCCATACAGTTATTAGATTTATCGGTCCCTGTCTAAAGGTTGAACCCATAAATGGGCAGGTGATGGTGTTGCTGATAGTACACCGTCCCTTACACCCCGTATACCTAGATCAAATAAACTAAAGTTGTAGTTATAATTATAATAAATCAAGATTATAAATATGTTGATAAGTAGTTAGATACGTAAGGAAATATACCTAACGCTGTTCAGATTTTTAATAAGATAATTAGAAATCATGAAATTCCTATTGGGTTTAATTTATTTATTATATATTATATGAAGAACAATGGGTGAACCCTTTATAATGCAGATCTCTAACAACGCCTACTCAGAATTGCTGAAGATTACGATAAAAATTTAAGTATTGTATTAATGATAGAAACGTTCATTTTTATAAAAAACGTGGAGTTTGTAAAAATTTAGAGACGATATACCTACGTACGACGGCTTTAAAAGAACTCCAATAAAAAGCTACTAAAAATCGAAAATTTCTTGCTACGTACGTCCTACTCGTAACTCTGTACTGAACTCGTACCTTAATTCGTAATAATTTTCTCTAGCGAGATTGAATAGGTATGCTATTGACTAAACAAAACCTACAAGTACACTCTTGTAGGGAACCCGTCGTAGGTATTATAAAATAAGAGACAACTTTGGATGAGTAGTGTTTTCAAATTCGTTACAATCTCAACAAATTATTGTTGATTAAATTATTGATTAAATCCGTTAAAAAAACATTGATTACCTAGAATTGTTCTGCGTAATCTATTTCACCAATATGACAGTCGATATTTCTGTACTCTTGTTTTTCATGTTTTCTATAATTCTTGCAGTGCCTAGGTAGGTATGCAACTAATTATCGCGCCGTTTGTCTTACTAAAACGTGTAAAAAACTGTCAACGATGTTACAGAGTGAATTTTCGATCTATGAATTATGATGGCGTGATGTGATTTGTCTCCGAGTTAGGCCCCGTCCGCACATCGACTTTTATCCCGTTTATTTTGTATGAATGACATAGAAAATATTCCGGCGCGATATTTTTAATGGTACTAGCATAATTCATTGTGGTACAGATTGGCCAGAGAAGATTCGGTGTGCGGATAGAGCTTAACATCTTTTATATAGTAAGATGAGCGACGGACTATAGTAGCAGAACATTTGAGTATAAGGCAGGGAACACACGTATAACGTCCCTTTGTGCGTTATTTATGCACGCGTTAGGAAAATGCGTTTTTCCGTCTTATTTTCTTACGAATACAATTTATGTCTAACAATTCGACAGACGCAAGCGCTGTGTCTAAGGGCGAAATTCGTGTTGTCCTAACGCATGCGTTACGTTATTATGTATCGCAAAAATGGACGTTACGTGAGTTTCTTGCCACTCTTTGTGGTTAAAGATGCGATTTGAAAAAAATAACGCACGCGATGTGGATCGTGCCACCTGTAGGGTAACAAAACCACGTGATAATTAACAGTAGAAATATTAATATAAGCATTATGTAAATTACATTTTAAACAAGCTATATATTACGGCTACTATAATTATAAAATAAAATTACTCTATTTTGAGAAACAATTCATTTTGTTTTATTGATTAGGTATTATAGTAAGGTTACGTTAGGATGTCTTATATGAGTTTGTGATGATAATAAACGTAGAAAATTATTCGGTAGTTTCATTTAATGGATTCAGCACAGTATACGGCTAGAAACACACGGCAACGTCGCTTTGTGCGTGGTTGGTTTGATTTTCCACCTTATTTTAATACGGATACAAAAGTTTTGCTTATAACAATTTTCCAAAAAAATTACCTATAGTCTACATTCATCACTTGCCAAAATATTAAAAGTAAGAATTTATTTAAAAACACCAAAATAATAGAAAAGTTAATGTTTTGACTCCATCCAAAATATTGAATATTGAATTATGACGTCATATTTCTATAATTTCATTCAAAATATCGTTTTCGGCCGTCTTAAAAAGTAGCTCATTTGACCTGTCTGTTAAGTAACGGACTAACTATAAACAGGATGTACAAAAAATTACTGCAAATATTTTTAAGGGTGAACGAGCTCATGAAATTGAACAACTTTCCCCAAGGAACATAGGACATAATAACAATATACGAATACAAAATTTGGACCTCCCATACAAAAAAAAATGTACTAAGGTGAGGCCCAAATTGTTTCTAATTTCAACCTATGTTCCTGGGGAAAGATGTTCAGTTTCATGGGCCGGTGCACTCCTTAACATATTTGCAGTATTTTATTTACATCCTGTAAGACACGGTGTGATTCGGTCGGTGACAGTTGAGAAAAGTATAACCCCATTTGTACCTGTGGGTGTAGTTAAAACCCACTAGGGCTAAAACCACTCGGGTAACGCGAAAAAAAAGAGAGACAGAGAGAGAGAGATCCATCATCAAATGCATTGGCATTCATTAACTGGTGCATCGATAGCTCAGTGGCAGAGCGGTGGGGCGTTTACCCATGCGGCCCGGGTTCGATCCCTGGTTGATGCATGACATTTTTTCTATTTCTTATTTTCACTTGTGAACATCACCCCATTTCTTTCCCGTGGGTGTGGTAAGCCCAGATTACTTATATATATGAAGAAGCGACTGAGGTATTTGAGAGTTGATGACAGACTGACAATGACAAATTATCACTATGGTGATACACAGTCTTCTCAATGACTCTTAAACTTTTGTCAGACGTGGTGTAGGTAATTGGCCGTTTTGTTCAGCTGTTTACGCTCTGCCTACCTCGCAAGGGATATAGATAGGCGTAATATATGTAACTATGTAAGCTATGTATGAAGGAAGCCTGGCTACAAACTCTACGCCAGGATTCGGGCAGCCTCTACGCGGTGCTACGGCGCTACGGTGGGTGCCTGTGCTACGACGCTACGACACTTTCATCCTACTACTTTCCGGTTCAATTCCCGGTGAGGTCACTTTGTGAATTTGTTCTCAGTCTGGTTAGGACATTGCAGATTGAACCACCTCCTGATTGTCCGAAAAGCCAGATGGCTCCGTGCTTTGGAGGGCACATTAAGCCGTCGGTACCGGTTGCTGTCTATGAGCACTTAGGTGGCGGTCGTAACCATGTCAGAGGCCAGCTACTTGCAGTAGGCGGTTGGAAAACTCTGACACCAGGGTTCATCGGGTTATATTGGACGAATTGAAGAGGACGATCTTATAGCGGCGTGCTGACTGGAATTACGCAGATATCAAACTTGTCTCTTCTACTATATTCAGGCACTTTACGAATAAAGTTCCAATATAAAGCTGGATTTTATTGTGGCTGTTATAATAGTAGTATAAAGCTTCCTCTATTTATAAAAAGCGTCACCCAGTAACGTTGCGAAGCGTTTCCTTGTGACATCCTCCCGGTATTAGGTATTTAACTAATTAATTAATGCTATCTGCAGAGTATAACAATTGCTACTGAGATTCAACTTAATATTATACAGGGAGTAACAGAGAGGGTATAACAAGCCGAAAGGAGGTCAAGGTACTCATGAAACTGGACAACTTTCCCTATGGAACTTGGCACGAAATATGAAAAAAAAACTGACCTCCCGTGGTAAATCTTGCTTCTGATCTGTGATTGAATTGGTGTGGGAGACCTAGAACCTACATATACAGGGTGTTCGGGACGATGTACCGAAAACTTTCCAGGCATGATCAGACTATCAAACTGAACAACTTTTACTATGGAGCCAATGGTGGGAAACGAAAAAAATTTCCGACCTCCCATACAAAATTCACGATCAGCTGACTGACTTTGTATGGGAGGTCGAAAAATTTTTTTCGTTTCCCACCATTGGCTCCATAGTAAAAGTTGTTCAGTTTCATGGTCTGAGCACGCCTGCAAAGTTTTCGTTACACCGTCCCTAATACCCTGTATAATATCATTGTGGGAGACCCAATTTTTTTGTATATTTCGACCATAATTTCGACCCATGTTCCTTGGGGAAAATTGTTCAGTTTCATTAGGACCTTGACCTCCTCTCGGCTTGTTATACCCTTTTTGTTACTACCTGCATATAACAATAAAAATATAATTCTTAATTATTACATGTCACGATGATGATACAAGCAACACGAATATGATGTAGTGACAGGTACTCTACTTATAGTCGACTCTATAGTTAATAAAATACGTAATACAATCATTTTAAATTTACATGTTCTACTGAGTTCACTTCCAATCAGTAAAGAATACAAATATAGTTTACCCTTCCGTCATTCGCTTTATCAGGATGCATTATATTATATTCAATCTTTACCTACTCAATTTCTTTGTCACTGAAATAGGTACCTAGTTTTTGCATTATAATGGACACCTTGGTAAAAACATAGTTGCATGAATAGGAAACTATCAGATGAACCTCTGAGCGAACCTTAGTTACAGAAGCGTATATCATACTACAAATCGGAAAATAAAATTATGTGCACGTGTCAGGAAATATTAATATACAGGGTGGTGGTAGTAAACAATGGACTTTCTCGAAATGCTAAGCTCAAAAAGTCAAAATGAACAACTTTCCCCAAGGACGAAAGAAAAAATTGGACGTCCCAAAACTGCTTAGGTACGGAGTAATTTTTTTAACGTAAGGTACATAATTTTGTTAAAAGTTTTGACTTAATTTTTTTGGTTGTTCAGTTTGATTTGATCTGTTGAGCTTATCGGTTTCGGAAAAGCATGTCGTACGGCATCACCCTGTACGTATATCATTAAAATATTATGCCCATATTTCACATTATTTAAATATTTGGGATAAGTAATCAAACTAATCGGGTGATAACATTTTGGTATTTGTAATGATAATAAAATAACAAAGAAAAAACTATATCTAGAGCAATCCATTTGGGACTGACTTGCTTATTATTGTACATACATACGTAGGTACACATATCACTCCTTTAACGTTAGCGGGTTAGGCAGAGTGCTACGTCCATAAAAATACGGTCGCAATCACCACGTCTGAAAAATATTTGAAGACCGTTCAGAAAAAGGGCTAGTTGTTGCAGAAGTATGTTAGTCCAAAACGGCCCAGTTCAAGAAGTCCCTTAATTCAATATCATGACATGACAGTTGAATTCTGAACAATCTTTTTAATATAATTTTATTATTAACTAGCTGTTGCCCGCGACTTCGTACGCAAGGCGTAGTGTTTGTGCTTAGTTCAGTTGAAGTTTATATTTTGTGTATTTTATCCATAATCATGAAATCTTACGTACTTATTAGTAGATTTAGAACCTCGAAAAAATTCTTTGCAGTATTTGTATGAACTCCGCGGAACCCATTACTTACTGTGTTTTCCTGTGGGAATGAGAGATTTTCCCGAAGTAAAATGTAGCCTATATGTTGACCCAACTAATAAGGTATTACGACACAAAATTTGGTTAAAATCCGTCCAGTAGTTTTTGCGTGAAAGATGGACAAACAAACAGACAGACAAACAGACAAAATTTTTTTTTTTAATTTTTCTGAGATCCGTATCATGAGCACAATTAGAAGTAAACATTTATTTTTTAAACTATCCCATGTACAGAATTGGTTTTGTTTCTGTTTTATTATATGTATAGATTTTTAAAAAGGACTTAGTGTGATTTTGAACTAGACTGTCCTGGACTTAGCTACTTCTCATTCATTAGCCATTGAAGTAGCATTAATTTAAGTCCAAACAATGAAAATGGCTTTATTAACGCTGTCAAAAGGCTGTCAACTCTGTATTGTCGTGTTACGAGCAGTTAAATGAGTTTAATATTTACGGGCAGTAGAGTCGAACACATAGAGACGAATATGGACAAGTTTTCCTTATTTACTATTACAAGAGGCCAGGAATTTTTTGTTTGATTGTTTATAGTAAGTATATCGAAAGATTAAGTTGTAAAAAACTTACTAAGTTGTAAACTGCTGCAAGTACTAGTCCAAGAAACTAAAAAAAAAAGCTTTCCCCAAATAACATAGTCCGAAATATGAAAAACAATTGGATATGCAAAGTGTGTTGTCCAGTCGGATACTTTTTTCAAACTTCGACCTTTATGCTCCTTGATATGAAATTTGTTCAATTTCATGGAACTAATTCACAACTTAACACGTTCAGTGCGGTACCAGGTCAGAAAGACGTGGTTTACGACTTGCTTAGCGTGCGGCAAAGAAAAGTATAGACTTCCCTGTCGTGCGGAGGGCATAACTTTAGATTTGATCGTTGTGGGAAGGAGACAAATATATATTTATGATGTGTTACTAAAGTAGAGATCGAAGAAGTGGTCAGCATACAACTAGGTTTTTTAGACCTGGTTCCGCACTGAAGAATTAAAATGTAAATGCAGTGCGGCACCAGGTAGAATACGCCTGGTTTCTCCGAGCACCTGGTGCCGCACCACGCGCGAGCTTCGCGCGGCCAGTGTTGTGCTAGTATTCGATAAAATGCATGCGTGATCTTTTTTTTCGTTATGGCTACGATAAAAAAGACCCCACAAAAAGATCAAATAGAAAAGGTCGTACAAAATAATTGTTTTGGATGTTATGCAAATTTGAGAGCCAATCTAACCCGCAATGAAGCTGTAAAAGTTAAAAAAATATATGAGATGTGTTGAGTATTATGAAAATCAGTACCTACTCCAATGCTTTAATGAAAAATATTAAACTTACTTAATTGCTTTTTTAATAAAACTTACAAAAAGTTATCGATGTTTTGATTTCCCAACACTAAAATTTGCGCGAATCTGCCCGTGTGCAGTGCGGTACCAGGTGCAAAAGACCCGGTATTTTGTTTTGGTTACAGCTCCTAAACTAAATTATCTATTCACGTACGCCTGCAGATTCATATAAATCAATTCATAATTAATGATGTCAAATGATATTTTTGTGTTTTTTATTTTAAATTATCTCAAAAAAAGCATTTAAGTTTTTTTAACGTTACCAGGTTTAACAGACCCCGTACCGCCACAACGGAAAGTTTAGCCCCAGGTGAAATACGCCTGGTCCCGCAGTAACGGAAAGTATGCAAAAATTGCCGCCGCTTTGAACGTGTTAAAATATTTGCAACAAAATTTTACACCATGTACCTATACCACGGTTTAAAATTAACTACTTTATCCAAGGCTATCTAATTTTTGATAAAACAAAGGTTACTCTAGACAGCGGGGAAGTTTCTGATCAACTGAAAAACTTAGTCATCAGCGGGTGAAACCGCCGGCAGCCAGCTAGTAAGTTCAATTAATTATACCCACGCGCCATCTTGATACAGTCATTGTGGTTTGCGAGACAGGGACAGCCGTATCAGCAGCTTGACTCACAAAGGACAGCGCATATTCGCGAACGACAAGCGAAGCGAGGCTGTCTGCGCTTCCTTATCTGCTCGAGTTGTTTACCCGGCTGCGAAGTTAGTCGCGAATCGATCGACGGAGAGTCGTGTCTTGTGTATTGTCGAGTTGATGTCGTGGCAATGTGGCCGGACGAGGACCCGTACGAGGGGGCGCACGGTCGCGGCAGCTCCGGCTCG